TTCATCACCTTCAAAACTACCATTAGAAAACATCTTATCTCCCTGATACACCCCGTCAACTAACTACACGAATACCACCTGGTGGTTCACACTTACACTCACTCACTCATTTGACCATAAACAGAAATATTAATCTCAGTCTTAAAATAATGAATCCTGTGATACTCCAATACTGACAATATGTACTGTGCCAAAACAAAAGCATTCACATTGCTAAACTCACAAACTAGTATTTAGTCACTTAGCCATAATACCAACTTACCTCATAATTTGTAATATTTTACAATTAAGAATAAAACTAAGTATGCCCGAAATGCCTAGCCATGCTAAGCGTTCTAGTGGTACACTCTGTAATCACAATTTTACTACATGTAAACCACACAATAACCAAATTTCTGTAAACTCAGCATTGTAATCCTTATAGAGAATAAACTTTGAATTGAATTTGAATTTGAATGATAGGTAATCAGTCCCTCAGCCCAGGAACTATACATATTTACAATGTCTTCTACTTGTGTTTATAATTCACTTCAAGTTTATTCTCTATAAGGGTTACAATGTGGGGTTTACAGGTTTAGGGTATTGTGTGGTTTACATGTTATAAAATACTAATTACAGAGGGGGCCACTAGGACACCTAGCATGGCTAGGTATTACAGAGGGTGCCACTAGGACACCTAGCATGGCTATAAAAGGCATTCAGCATGAAGTTATAAATAAAGACAATAGATCAGGTCAGCAAACAAAGGGGGACAGCAGAGGGCAGCAAGGGACTAGCTCCCTTAAGGTTTACTATACTAATAGCAGGAGTGTAAGAAATAAGATAGATGAGCTAAGATTAATTGCAAGTGCAGGAGACATAGATATTATTGCTATAACAGAGACCTGGCTCAATCTGAAAGATAGAGAGATGCCCTCTGAATGTCACATACAAGGCTATAAATTATTCCACACTGACAGGGTCAACAGGAAAGGTGGTGGAGTAGCGATGTATGTCAGAGACAATTTAAATTGTTGTGTTAGACAAGATATTAAATTAGAAGCGTCAGCCACTGAATCTGTTTGGTTACAGCTTCTCGAGGGCCGAGAAAAACTAATTTTGGGTGTGATTTACAGGGCCCCAAATCTTGATAGGGAGTGCAGTAAACTTCTATGGGACGAAATTCGTAAGGCATCTACATACGAAAATGTTGTGCTAATGGGAGATTTCAACTATAGACAGATTGACTGGAGCAATTTGACAGGAAATTTAGAGTCAGGTGACTTTCTTGATACGATCCAGGATTGTTTTTAAAAACAGTTTGTGACAGAGCCAACTAGGGGAAATAACCTCCTTGACTTGGTTTTTTGCCAGTAGGGAAACACTAATTAATAATCTTGAGGTTAATGATGAGCTTGGGGAAAGTGATCACAAATCACTCAGTTTTAATATATCATGGAATTCCCCTAATAATGGCAATCAAGTCTCCGTCCCTGACTTTCGCTTGGCTGATTTCATAGGACTGAAAAATTACTTAGGTGGGCTGAACTGGAATGACCTGACTAAGGGTCAGGTAGGTGGTGATGGTTGCCGATTATGCTTTCCAGGGCATAGTTCTAGCTGCTCAGTCCAAATTATGTTCCAAATAGGGAAATCAGATCAAACAAAAATGATCCTAAATGGATGAACAATAGATTAAAATATCTGATTGGTCAAAAGAGAGGCATATATAGGCAAATCAAAAGAGGAGAGGGGCAATTGAGAAATCGATATATTCAGTTAAAGAGAGAAATAAAAAAGGGAATTAGAAAAGCAAAAGAGATTATGAGGTTAAAGTTGCAAGAGAATCGAAGACTAACCCAAAAGGATTCTTTCAGGTATACAGAAGTAAGATCAGGGACAAGATAGGCCCACTCAAAAGTTCCTCGGGTCAGCTCACTGACAGTGATAAGGAAATGTGTAGAATTTTTAACACATACTTCCTCTCAGTTTTTACACAGGAGGATACCAGCGATATTCCATAATGATAAATTATGTAGAACAGACGATAATAAACTGTGTACTATTAGGGTCACAAGTGACATGGTCCTTAGGCAAATAGATAAATTAAAACCTAACAAATCCCCAGGCCCTGATGAACTGTATGCAAGGGTTCTAAAGGAATGTAAAGAGGAGCTTAGCACACCTTTGGCTAATCATTTTCAACATATCACTACAAACTGGCATGGTGCCAGATAAGTGGAAAATGGCAAATGTGATACCTATTTTCAAAACAGGTGACAGGTCCTTAGCTTCGAACTATAGACCAATAAGCCTAACCTCCATAGTGGGAAAATTTATGGAATCAATAATTGCCGAGGCAGTTCGTAGCCACCTTGAAAAGCATAAATTAATCAACGAATCTCAGCATGGTTTTACAAAGGGGGGTTCCTGCCTTACGAATTTATTAACTTTTTTCACTAAGGTATTTGAGGAGGGAGATCATGGTAATGAATATGATATTGTGTATATGGACTTCAGTAAAGGCTTTTGACAGGGTCCCACAAACAGAGACTATTGAGGAAAATTAAAGCACATGGAAAAGGAGGAGAAATTTTTTCCTGGATAGAGGCATGGTTGACAAATAGGCAGCAGAGAGTTTGCATAAATGGGGAGAAATCAGAGTGGGGAAGTGTCACGAGCGGTGTTCCACAGGGGTCAGTGTTGGGCCCCCTGCTGTTCACAATCTACATAAACGACATAGATGAGGGCATAAAGAGCGACATCGCAAGTTTGCCGATGACACCAAAATAGGCCGTCGAATTCATTCTGACGAGGACATTCGAGCACTCCAGGAAGATTTGAATAGACTGATGCAGTGGTCGGAGAAGTGGCAGATGCAGTTTAATATAGACAAATGCAAAGTTCTAAATGTTGGACGGGACAATAACCATGCCACATATAAACTAAATAATGTAGATCTTAATATTACGGATTGCGAAAAAAATTTAGGAGTTCTGGTTAGCAGTAATCTGAAACCAAGACAACAGTGCATAAGTGTTCGCAATAAAGCTAATAGAATCCTTGGCTTCATATCAAGAAGCATAAATAATAGGAGTCCTCAGGTTGTTCTTCAACTCTATACATCCTTGGTTAGGCCTCATTTAGATTATGCTGCACATTTTTTGGTCACCTTATTACAGAAATGGATATAAATTCTCTGGAAAATGTACAAAGGAGGATGACAAAGTTGATCCCATGTATCAGAAACCTTCCCTATGAGGATAGACTAAGGGCCCTGAATCTGCACTCTCTAGAAAGACGTAGAATTAGGGGGGATATGATTGAGGTGTATAAATGGAAGACAGGAATAAATAAAGGGATGTAAATAGTGTGCTGAAAATATCTAGCCTAGACAGGACTCGCAGCAATGGTTTTAAGTTGGAAAAATTCAGATTCAGGAAGGATATAGGAAAGTACTGGTTTGGTAATAGAGTTGTGGATGAGTGGAACAAACTCCCAAGTACCGTTATAGAGGCCAGAACGTTGTGTAGCTTTAAAAATAGGTTGGATAAATACATGAGTGGATGTGGGTGGGTGTGAGTTAGACCTGATAGCTTGTGCTACCAGGTCGGTTGCCGTGTTCCTCCCTTAAGTCAATGTGACCTGACCTGACTAGGTTGGGTGCATTGGCTTAAGCCGGTAGGAGACTTGGACCTGCCTCGCATGGGCCAGTAGGCCTTCTGCAGTGTTCCTTCGTTCTTATGTTCTTATGTATTACAGAGGGAGCCACTAGGACACCTAGCATGGCTAGGCATTTCCAGCAGACTTAGATTAATTCTTAACATTAAGTCCTTACAGATTATGGTATTAAGGCTAAGTGACTACATCATAATTTGTGAGTTTAGCAATGTGAATGCTTTTGTTTTGGCACAGTACAAAGTGTCTATAATGGAGTATCATAGGCAAACTTATGACTAGTTAGGATTTATTATTTTAAGATTAAGATTAGTATTTCTGGGTTTATAGTCAGTGGGTGAGTGTAAGTGTGAACCACCAGGTGGTTATCATGTAGTTAGTTGTCGGGGTGGATCAGGGAGATAAGATGTTGTCTAACTGTAGTTTTGAAGGTGATGAGTGTGTCTGCAGTTCTAGAGTTCTCAGGTAGAGTGTTCCAGATTTTAGGTCCTTTGAAATACTTTGAATTTTTGTAAAGGTTTAGTCGGACACGGGGAATGTCATAGAGATGTTTGTGTCTGGTGTTATGCCTGTGGGTTCTGTCACAACTATCAAGACAGCGTTTTAGGTCAAGGTTAATATTGGAATTTAAGGTCCTGTAGATATAGATTGCACAGTAGTAAGTGTGGATGTACTGAACAGGGAGTAAGTTTAGATCTATGAAGAGTGGGGGGGGGGGGGGGGGGGTTGCCAGGGATGGGATTTAGTGATTATTCTTACTGCAGCTTTTTGTTTATTAAAACCTCTTTGTTTTTTTATTTTGAACCGTCGCTAACTCCAGTTCCATTAACTACACGAGAACCCCAGTGGAAATAAGTCACTTTCACTGATTTTTTTTTTTTTGGGGGGGGGGTTATCCTGGTGGGTAATTTACACATGTTACTATGTATGATAATTTATGTATCTGTATTTATGTGTACCTGTACCTACATAAACTTAACATAAACTTTCACAAACTTTTGCTCACACTTCCTCAAAGTGCTATTATTATTATTATTATTATTATTATTATTATTATTATTATTATTATTATTATTACTATTATTATTACTATTATTATTATTATTATTATTTATTATTATTATATTGTCATCATTATTAGTTAAATGTTTAATCCCAGACTTGGGAATTAAAATATCTTAGGTAATGTATAAGTTATGGATGCCCTTAACAACCCACTTGCAGTGGATAATGTATAAGCTATGGACACCCTTAACAACCCACTTGCAGTGGATAATACTTAAGTTATGCTTAAGTTATTCAGTGGATGGTTTCATAATATAACTTCCCTTGTGACTTCCCAGTGCCTCCAGTGATCGATGATGTCAGCAGCAGCAGTGATGTCACCGTAGACGAGGGCAGTGATGTAGTGATGACCTGTGAAGCCAGAGGGGATCCCCACCCAGTCATACGCTGGGTTAGAGAGGACGGTCGGAGATTCAACCTCAACTTCTCTTCTACTGGTGAGTTGACTGACATCCTTCTCTAGTTGAGTGTAGTTGAGTACTGAGCCTTTATTTAAAGTGTGGTTCAAGATATAGAGCCTTCGGGTCACATCTGAAGGACCGGAGTTCGATTTAAAGACTGACACGACGGGGCACTGACCCCTCGCAACCAGGTATATAGGTAGTCGTGGAAACTTTAGATTTGTGTCCTTACACCTGTTACCCTTGTTCAAGTAGTAGTAAATAGGTACCTCTCGTGGGTGGCATCCCGGGGAAGAGGATCAATGGGCCACGATGGAAATAAATGGCTCACCTGGGTTATCCTGGATTATTAACCCTAAGGATAAAAAGTATCTTCATTCGCAACCTTTACAGTCATCTCTCAGGGAGATGACTGTCTCTTTTCTGTGATTTACTTTGAAATCAGTTGTGGGAAAGAAGTGAAAACTTTCATTTGTGATAATATCGCGGGTTCAAATCCCGCCCGTGGTATGGTTTGTTTGCAATCGTGTCCTTACGATTTCGTGAGTCGTGAATCGCTAGTTTCCTTGAAGGTTCCTTGTGGATTTTCAAAATAAAAGACAGTCTAAAAATTGACGGGGTTTTCGGCTACATTTACAAAAAAAATGGAACGATAAGGTCTGTACAGATGTAGGTTAACTCGACTTCCAGAGAGCATTTGATAAAATACCACTTAGAAAGTTACTTAGTAAACAAAAGAGCATGACACAGGGGAGAATCTTCAGTATTGGATCAGTGACTGGCTGACCTGTATCATGTGAGGACGCACGTAGTGAGCGCTCCCTGGAAGGTTAACGACGAAGTCATCTCTGGAGCAGCTACCTCCAGGTAAAGCTGGAACAAGGAAAATGAGACCATCCACAACGACTGGAAGCTGGTGGGAAGGAAAGACTGAAAATGAAAATGAGGAACGCTAAAGATACTGTATTATACTGCCTGGCCAGTATGGAACCCTTCTCTAGGGTGAGGGACTGACTACCTCAGAACTACGTCTTCGAGGGTAATGGACTGATTATACTGCCTGACGAGTATGGAACCACGGTGAACGTCACGTCAGGAACCTCTAAAGAGGGTAAGAATGATAAGACACATAGGCAACAGTTAGGTGTCTTTATTCCGAAACGCTTCGCCTACCCAGTAGGCTTCTTCTGTCGAGTACAGAGGGGGGCTCCTTGGCGCGGTGAAGAGGCTCTTTATCTGAGGAATTAGACCTTTTGGTCTCCTTCTTCCTCAGACCGAACCTAATTACCCCCATCCCCCCTTCCCATCCCATCCCCCCTTTTTCCCTTTCCTCCTCTTCCTCCTCCCCATCCCTCCCCTATTCCCTTCCTATTTTCAGCCTTTGAGATTCTTCCCACAGGCACTCTAGTTCCTAGGTAGGGGGAAGGGTACCGTGGTCCATCCCATTCCGTTGAGGTCCTTGGCGGTGGTGCAGTTTGCCATGGAATCTGGATCACCTGGGGATGTCCCGATCCCTCTCCGGTCTCCCCCTGGATGGGGGGGGGGGAATGGCGGCTTTGGCTTTGGCTTTTGGCCAATAACTTCTCAGTTATCGCCATTTTTTTTTTTTTTTTGACCTTAAGAAGGCATATGACAACTTTGAGGTATAATATCTTCGCCCAGGCCCACTCCTTACGTCCCCTGAGGCAATCTACCATTTTTCCTTAAGAACTTCTTAACTGAGAGCCATTTCCACGTTCTGGCTAATAATATGCTTTCCCTGGACTTTGTACAAGCTGAAGGTGTCCCCCAGGAATGTGTTCTGAGCACAACACTGTTTCTCCTCCCTATAAATGATCTGGCCTCTGTTCTTCCATCCAATATTTGGTCATCTCCCTATGTTGATGACTTAGCTATAGTTTGTGCAGGCGCTGACTGTCACCTCATTGCAGTTTCTCTCCAGCATGCAGTCAACCGTGTTTCCAGTTGGGCCACTACTCATGGGTTTACATTTTCTCGCAGTAAAACTCACCAAATTACTTTCCCTAGACGTTCTGTCGTCTCTGATCATCCAGTGTACCTACATGGTTTACATATCCCAAAACGTGATAGTCAGGTTTCTCGGTCTTCTGGTTGACCGTTGGTTATCCTGGAAACCTCACATTACCTCTCTAAAGACAACTTGTCACAGTCGGCTGAACCTCCTTAAAACCTTCGCTCTTCTTTCATGGAGGCTGATCGTAGAACTCTCCTTCTACTACATTCAGCCCTAATTTTATCGAAACTCGATTATGGTGACCGGATATATTCAACGGCCTCTCCTGCTACTCTCTCTAGCCTTAATCCCATCCATCGCCAGGGATTACGTTTATGCCTCGGTGCTTTTCGCTCTTACCCTGTTGAGAGCCTCTATGCTGAAGCGAATATTCTATCCTTGACCGATCGCCGTGATGCCCATTACCTTCACTATTATGTTCGATCTGATGACCTCCACAATCCTTCCATATATAGGATAGTCACTGATGTTAGTAGATGCTCTTTATTTGTTCGTCGCCCCTGTTTACTCCATCCTTTTTCTCATCGCCTACATTCGCTCTTGTCTTCTCTTCAGTTACCACCTTTCTATGTTCATGTAGCATCTCACTTTTCCCTGCTTCCTTGGGAAGTTCCGACGGTTCGTGTTTGTTCTTTCTCACTGCCATGCGCGAAAGCCCAACTGCCTACGGTGGCTGCTGGCTCTCTTTTTTTTTTAACCACTTCCACTTTCATTCTCATGCCATCGCAGGGTACACCGATGGTTCCAAGTCTTCTGACGGCGTCGGATTTGCAGCAGTGTTTCCGTACAGTGTTGTACGAGGTCATTTACTATCCTCGGTTAGCATTTTTACGGCTGAATTGTATGCCATTCTCGTAGCACTTATCCGTATTGCATCTATGCCTGTGTCACCATTTGTGATCATTTCCGACTCCCTTAGTGCTTGATTGGCTATAAGAAAATTTGATACACTTCATCCCCCTGTTTCTTCGAATCCAACTTTGGTTATTTCCTTATCTATAGCATTCACAAAGATAATGTTTTTTGTTGGGTCTCTGGTCATGTTGACTTACAGGGCAATGAACAGGCAGACACTGCTGCGCGGTCAGCAGTACATGACCTCCCAGTTTCATATAGAGGTGTTCCTTCACACCTGTTGGCAACAACGTTGGTCTGATCTGCTCCATAACGAACTACATTCTATTAAACCGAGTATAGGTTTCTTGCCGTCTTCTTGTCATCAATGTCGAGGTTGGGAGACTACTCTCTCCCGTCTTCGCATCGGCCACACTCGTCTTACTCACGGGTATCTCATGGAGAGGCGCCCTGTCCCAATCTGTGAGAATTGTCAGGTTCCAGTATCTGTTAGCCACATTCTGTTGGACTGTCCACTCTATCAACAAGCACACAGAATTTACCTCCTCCGTCGTCACCGTTCTGCTGCCCTTACTTTACCTTCCGTTCTTGCTGATGGACCCTCCTTTAACCCAGACTTTCTCATTGACTTTTTGACAGCAACTGATTTACTGCACAAACTCTGATGATGATGCCTCTAGTACTCATCACGGCCCTTTCTACCTCAATCTCTTGCTACTCTACCCCTGCACTATCCACTGCCACACTGCACTCCATGACTTAATAATCATCCCTCTCCCTCTTGCTAACTGATACCCCAGCGTCCTTCCCTGCCCGGAGGCGCTGTATGACTCTTGTAGGTTTAGCGCTTCTTTTTGATTAGAATAATACAGAACCAGTAAAGATGTGAAGAGAATGTAATCAGTCCATCAGCCTTGAAAACGTAGTTTTGAGGAAGTCAGTCCCTCAGCATAGTTCTTTTTAAAATTTTTTGGTGGTTTTCAACTCGAGACATGAACATGGCCTTTAGGCTTTAAAACAGAAACATGAGGCTGAAGAGGCTGAAGAGACTGGAGAGGCTGGAGAGGCTGGAGAGGCTGAAGAGGCTGAAGAGGCTGAAGAGGCTGAAGAGGCTGGAGAGGCTGAAGAGGCTGGAGAGGCTGAAGAGGCTGAAGAGGCTGAAGAGGCTGAAGAGACTGGAGAGGCTGGAGAGGCTGAAGAGGCTGAAGAGGCTGGAGAGGAGGCTGATGGTTTGTGGTCCTGGCCCGGAATGCAACATATCGTTAGCCATCTTGGCAGCGTCAAATAACCTCCCAATAAGCCAGATTTTAACTGTAGATAAATTATTAGTCAATCATAGCTGATATTATAAGGAAATTTCTTAATAAGCAAAATTTATGATACTCAACATGGGTATACAAGAGGCCGTTCCTGCCTGATAAATTTCTTGACCTCAGTAAAACATTTGGTAACGAATATCTTGGAAGGTGAATTGATTGCTCAACTTCGTCTTCCACCAAGACTAATGTCTCCAGGAGTTAAAAAAATAAAGATCTTTATTTACACGAAGAATGTTTTACAATAGGTTGAGGAAATATAATTTTATTGAAGTATTCCATACAAAGTTCTTGATTATCCATTCGACTGATTTATTCCACTGATGAAGCCTTCAACACAGCCGAAACCTCTTGCCAACAGAGATTCCTCATGTTCGTGTGTCGTACTCATCACATAAAAGCCCTTAGCATAGTCATTAGCAATGACATTAGTCGTAAGACTCACGAAATCGTAATGACACGATTGCAAACAAGCCATGGTACGGGTGGGGATTGAACTCGCGGCACGTGAGTCGTTAAACTCATTTTTAAGACTCATTTGCCGCGAGTTCAATCCTCACCCGTACCATGGTTTGTTTACATTAGTCATAAATTAAGCATTCCGGAGGCTTCCTTGCAAGACAGTTGCAACACAGTACACCTGAATGGGAGATACTCTCGTCAGATCCCACCTTGTTGTTAGGTAAGACACATAGGCAACAGTTAGGTATCTTTATTTCGAAACGTTTCGCCTACACAGTAGGCTTCTTCAGTCGAGTACAGAAAAGTTGATAGAAGCAGAAGATACTTGAAGACGATGTAATCAGTCCATCACCCTTAAAGTTTTGAGGTGGTCAGTCCCTCAGTCTGGAGAAGAGTGTTGTTCCATATATATTGTTTCAGACTATGGAACAATGCTCTTCTCCAGACTGAGGGACTGACCACCTCAAAACTTTAAGGGTGATGGACTGATTACATCGTCTTCAAGTATCTTCTGCTTCTATCAACTTTTCTGTACTCGACTGAAGAAGCCTACTGTGTAGGCGAAACGTTTCGAAATAAAGATACCTAACTGTTGCATATGTGTCTTACCTAACAATCTGTCGGTATTTCATACCATTTTAATGTTCATTGTTCAGATCCCACCTTGTACGGTATCCACCTCTGTTACTCTATATTAAAGAGGTACACACACCTGACATGGAATAATGTTGGCAGAATTACCGACAATATGTTGGGTAAAAGGACACATTGTTGATAAATTAGTCACATGTGCGACTCTTGGGTATCTTTATTGAGGAAACGTTTCGCCACACAGTGGCTTCATCAGTCCATTGTATGGACTGATGAAGCCACTGTGTGGAGAAACGTTTCCTCAATAAAGATACCCAAGAGTCGCACATGTGTCTAATTTATCAACATGTCGGTTCTCTGAACCATTCATCTACAAAAAGGACACATGTGCAGCTAATGTGGCATTTTATTGTGGCAACGTTTCGCTCTCCAGGAGCTTTGTCAGCAGCTTGACAAAGCTCCTGGAGAGCGAAACGTTGCCACAGTAAAACGTCGCATTAGTTCCACGTGTCCCCTTTTACCTAACACTTGAGATAATACAAAGAGCAGGAATTTTTCCCATATAGAATCAACCTACATAAAAAAAAAATGGACCACAGAGGCTACGACGTCACCTTATACGAGCCTCTAAAATTTTAGACAATTTAGATATACCCGAGGACGAAGTTTATACTGAAACGCAGTATGATGCAAGTACTCAAAAATGAATGTATGAAATTCTGTCGTAAGAGACTTAATGAAAATGTAAGCATGAAATTCCCGCAACAGCTGAACATTAGTCTCCCCACGGACGTTGTGGACGCTAAATCAGTTCATTATTTTGAAAGACCACCAGTAAAGAAGAATTTAGAATTAGAGACGGTTGTATCATTAATAATAATAATAATAATAATAATAATAATAATAATAATAATAATAATAATCTTTACTTCTAGAAGTACTTGATGCAACTTATACAGACCATAGCTCATATTAGTTACTATATAGAAAGGCCCTTGCTATGCCGAGCATTTCGGGCAAATTAGGTTAATTTTGTCTCCCAAGATGTAACCTTCATCAGTCGACTAACACCCAGGTACCTACTTGCTGCTAGGTGAGGAGGGACAACAGGTGTCTTGAAGAAACACGCCCCAGTGATCCCACCCGTACCGGGGATCGAACCACGACCTCAGTGTGTGAGCTGAGTGCGCTTCCAACCGAGCTACGGGATACCTAAACAGAACCAGTGGCTTTCGTACTGACCTAGAGTCTTAAGACTCATTTGCCATGGGTTCAATCCCCTCCCGTTCCATGGTTTCTTTAGAATTAGTGGTAGACATAATTGTGTAGATAGCAGTAAATTAATGAAAGTGGTTACAGTAATGGTACTATTGTAGTAGTAGTAGTTGTAGCCTGTGACTACCATCCATTTTCATCTCCTATAAACTACACGGCCTTTAGTTAGCATGGTTTGGTATATTTCCTCCCATCTCCCACGTTTTATAATGGCGGTGGCCGTTGGGAGTGGATGGTGGGGAGAGAGCCTTCTGATATAATATCTTTGTCTTCTTAGGGAGTAATTTCTGTGTGCAGATTTGGAACCAGTCCCTCCAGGATTTTTCAACGTGTAGGTTATGATGATTAACCACATTGTTAAAAGTAAATAATCCTCAGTCGAGAACCAGCTAGTTCTCAGCAGCTTACCTTGGTGACTAGTCTACTGCTGTCAGCGTGTCCCGTATGTACACGTTCTCTCTCTCTCTCTCTCTCTCTCTCTCTCTCTCTCTCTCTCTCTCTCCTCTCTCTCTCTCTCTCTCTCTCTCTCTCCTCTCTCCTCTCTCTCCTCTCTCTCTAACAGGGTTTTTTACAGGGTTAGGTTAAGCATTCCTACCTTTATTTACAAGCTAAGAGCTGCTACCTACATCAGCTCATTGTAAATCTCAATCTCCTCTTCTCTCTCTCTCTCTTCTCTCTCTCTCTCTCTCTCTCTCTCTTCTCTCTCTCTCTCTCTCTCTCTCTCTCTCTCTCTCTCTGACCATAAAGACAGCATGAGCTCAGTCGAGAAATCTCCATGAATACAGTAGTGGCTGGCCTGATCCTTCCACTGGCTCCCGGGGTCATCATTAGTTCCAGAACTGCCTCCAGCCACACACCTGGAAATGCCCATTTTTCCAGATTATTAAAATCGAATATTTATATTTTCCAAGACAATATTCATTTTCCCTCTTTCCTTTTTTGACTTGTGACTATAATTTGCAAACCATAAATGGCGTAAAGACGAGTTAGCTTGGAAAGGTGGATGTCAAATTTAATATAAATTATTTTATTAATTTACGAACATGACGTAAGGAAGAAGGAACACTGAAGTAGGCCTACTGGCCTATACTAGGTAGGTCCAAGTAATGAAATTGTGACTCACGAAATCGTAATGACACGATTGCAAACAAACCATACCCCGGCCGGGATTGAACCCGCGGTCAGAGACGGGCTGGAGTTTTGAGACTCTCTGACCGCGGGTTCAATCCCGGCCGGGGTATGGTTAATGAAATTGTGCATATGATGGGCATATATTGAAGACCAAACGACGATTATTGTATTGGTATTTAAGTATAAGTGTACTTGCCTAATTCCACTCACCTAATTGTGCTCATGGCCCCGCCTCTTCACTGGTCGCTACTAAATCACTCTCTCCCTGCTCCATGAGCTTTATCATGCTGCTTCTTAAAGCTGTGTATGGATCCTGTCTCCACTACATCACTCTCCAGACTATTCCACTTCCTGACAACTCTGTGACTGAAGAAATACTTCCTAACATCCCTGTGATACATCTGAGTCTTCAACTTCCAGTTGTGACACCTTGTTGCTGTGTCCCATCTCTGGAACATCTTGTCTCTGTCCACCTTTTCAATTCCTCTCAGTATTTTATATGTCGTTAACATATCCCCCCTACCCCACCTGTCCTCCAGTGTCGTCAGGTCGATTTCCCTTAACCTCTCCTCGTAGGACATACCCTTTAGATCCGGGACTAGTCTTGTTGCAAACCTTTACACTTTCTCTAATTTCTTGATGTGCTTGGCTAGGTATGGGTTCCAGACTGGTGCTGAATACTCGAGTATGGGCCTGACGTAGACGGTGTACAGAGTCCTAAGTATCTTCTGGTCATCTTTACACTTTGTGTTGATGTGATTACCTCACAGGTTAGGCTAGGCAAATTAGATAAGATTAGGTTAGGTTAGGTTAAGATAAGTTAGGTTAGGTTAGGATAAGTTAAGTTAGGTTAGGTAAAGTTAGGTTAGGCAAGATTGGTTAGGAAACAAAAAAAAGTGTTTCCTGACGCTGGTCTTAGTCATATGACCTACCACTGGAGTTTATGGCCATCTGACTGAGGCCTTCCGCTGGCTTACCAACCCACCCATTAAAAAGTTATAATAATCATTATATATATTTTACCCTCACAGAAAATATAACAGAACCATTTTTAATTATTAATAACTCCGATACACCCGATTTTATATCAATAATTCTGATGGTTTCGTTTATGTATTAATGCTGATACGCCCATTTCTATTTAATAAAATATACATCTACGTTGTTTTCCCGGTGTTACCAACAGTGGAGGAGCAGGTGGGACGATCACTGAAGTTGTGGTCAGTGAGCCACAACACCAGCGGTGCCTTCCTCTGTATAGCTACCAACGGTGTTCCTCCCTCCGTCAGCAAGAGAATCCTACTCACTGTCAACTGCAAGTATTGACCCCAGGAAGCTGATAGTGTGGGAGGCTGTTTAAGCTTGATTACCGTATTTTCCGGCATATAAGGCGCACTTTTTTCCCCCACGAGAAGTCTTGGAAAATCGGCCTGCGCCTTATATGCTCAAGGTCAGATCAAGGGTAGTCTTTGGGTTACGTTTTAGCGTAAAATAAGAGTAATTAGCCTTTGAATAAGACTGCTAATTTGCAGTTATGATATTTTTATTGTGCGTCTTATATGCCGGAAAATACGGTACGTCCTCTGTGTGGGCTTTACGAGACTTGATTAAGCCTCTGTAAGGGGTTGATAGGTATAAAGTGCAAAGCATGGATTAGATAAAGTTTGATAAAGTCCACAGTGCGGACCAAGAACCTTCCTAGTCAAGGACACAAGTTGTGGAAGCTTTGACTGCGGCAACGTGTCTCTCTGCGTAGAGCTTATCAAGCTCTATAGCTCTGTGCCCCATAAGGACGGTTCCTTGATGCTGGTGAGGGGTTCTTGATCTAGGGAATTGGATCTGTGCTCCAGTTCCCTGAATTAAGCCTGAATGCCTTCCACATTCCCCCTCAGGCGCTGTATAATTCTACGGGTTTAGTGCTTCCCCTTGATAATAATAATAATAATATAGCTCTGTGCAGGGCGAAACGTTGTCTGTAATACAAGCTTTACACAAATATCTCGTGTATCCTTGTCAAAATATGCTGCAACTAACTTTCACAAGGTAAACGTTTCGCTCTTTGCAGAGCGAAACGTCCTAATAAAAACAAGCTCTGCAGCATTGTCCTGGAAATCACAACTCTGATATATTATGTAAAATAAACCGACAAAAAAAATATGGTTATAAACAACGCAAAGTTCTGTTATTGCATCTATGTGTAAATTACCTGTAAACACGAGATTAAATGTAAATACACTTTCAATTATCCAGTGTAATATATAATTATATATATATAATATATATAGTAATATATAAAATATATATATTAATATATAAACATATATATATTATATCAATAGATACGTAAACAGGTGATTCAAATATTGCAAAACAACACTGAAAGATAGAGAAATTCCAAGCGTTTCGTGACTATCAATTATCAAGGAACTATCATAGTTCCTGATAATGGAGTAGTCACGAAAGCGTTGAATTTCTCTATTCTTCAGATGTTGTTTATATATATATAATATATATATATATATATATATATATATATATATATATATATATATTGATGAAATCACAAAACAAGTGATTTTTGAATCATTAGCAGATCTGCGGTTAGCCAGGATTCGATCCTGCGTCACAGTGTCCAGCTGTGAGAGAACAGGACAAGGTACGCGTCCCTCTGTCCACATGACCACCAATTCTCAATATTTATACACATATATGCACAGAATTAATATTAATCCCTATACACCATTGAGATTAAAATTCTTAGAGTGGTGTTAACCAGGTTGTTAACCAGGTTGTTAACCAGGTTGTTAACCAGGTTGTTAACCAGGTTGTTAACCAGGTTGTTAACCAAGTTGAAACCCAATTAACCAATCAATATTAACGTAGTTAATATTTTTTTATGTGTGTGTTTTTGAAGAAGAGTTAAACCCGTGCGAGATTTACAGCACCTTGGGAATCAGGATGTAATCTGGTTTGATCCGAGGGAAGGAAAGAGTGGCTCCAGTTCCTTGGATCAAGAGTCACCAGGATCAATGCTCTGTGTTGGAAAATAGGTTAAATTGTTAACTTAGATGCTTAAGTTAACAATATACTGTTAAACACGAGGAAGCCTTAAACCCGTAGGGGGTCATGCAACGCCTAGGGAATGGGAGGTAATCAGGGGTTTGATCCGAGGATAGGGAGGGTAACTCTGTTTCCTTGGATCAGGCACATTACCTTCTTTTAAATTAACTTATGGCCAGTTTAATGTATGTTCCAACACAGAACATTGATCCTGGTGACTCTTGATCCAAGGATCTTGATCCAAAATATTTCTCTGATCTGAAAAATTTAATGCAAAAAAATTGCCTATTTTTAAACATCTGTAAAAATGTTATTATAAATGTTTATATTGTAAATGTTAGTTTAAACATTTACAATGTACACTTGTAAACACATGTGAGTGTAAACAGACACAACGTGTACATTCGTGTAAATATTTATTTTACACAACTTTTACACAGCATTACACACTCTCCTCTCTACTACAGTTGCGCCCAGGATCGTGCAGGAGGGCGGGAGTGGGCGTGTGGGCGCACCGGCTGAGGGCGTGGCCACCCTCCTTTGCACTTTCCTCGCACGCCCACTTGCTGAGGTGCACTGGGACCGTGGTCCACGCCAGGTCAAAGTTCATGGTCCAGGGGTCACCTTAGACACTAATAGTGACCAGGTAAAACACTCTGGTGTCTTAGATAGATAGATAGATAGATAGTAGGAGAAACTTTTAGAGAGGGTGTGGTAGGTAAGTTTGGGGTACCAGGTGTAAATGATAATGGGAGCCCTTTGATTGAACTTTGTATAGAAAGGGGTTTAGTTATAGGTAATACATATTTTAAGAAAAAGAGGATAAATAAGTATACAAGATATGATGTAGGGCGAAATGACAGTAGTTTGTTGGATTATGTATTGGTAGATAAAAGACTGTTGAGTAGACTTCAGGATGTACATGTTTATAGAGGGGCCACAGATATATCAGATCACTTTCTAGTTGTAGCTACACTGAGAGTAAAAGGTAGATGGAATACAAGGAGAATGATAGCAGAAAGTAAGAGAGAGGTGAAGGTTTATAACCTAGGAGGAGGAAGCAGTTAGGGTAAGATATGAATAACTTTTGGAGGATAGATGGGCTAGTGAGAGTATAGGCAATGGGGTAGAAGATGTATGGGGTAGGCTTAAGAATGTAGTGTTAGAGTGTTCAGCGGAAGTTTGTGGCTACAGGAAAGTGGGTGTGGGAGGGAAGAAGAGCAATTGGTGGAATGATAGATCCATAGTTCCTTTGTATAAAGGCAAAGGGGATAAAAGAGAGTGCAAAAATTATAGGGAGAATAAATCTGTTGAGTATATCTGGTAAAGCGTATGGTAGTTATTATTGGAAGAATTAAGAGTAAGACAGAGAGTAAGATAGCAGATGAACAAGGAGGCTTTAGGAAAGGTAGGGGGTGTGTAGACCAAGTGTTTACAGTGAAACATATAGGTGAACAGTATTTAGATAATGGTAAAGAGGTTTTTGTGGCATTTATGGATTTGGAAAAGGCCCCCAATGGAAATAAGTCACTCTGTCTGACTTTTTGGGTTATCCTAGGTTCTCTACACATATGCTGCTATGTATGATAATTCTATGTAACTGTATTTGTGTATACCTGAATAAACTTACTTACTTATATGACAGGGTGGATAGGGAGGCAATGTGGCAGATGTTGCAGGTGTATGGAATAGGAGGTAGGTTACTGAAAGCAGTGAAGAGTTTTTACGAGGATAGTGAGGCTCAGGTTAGAGTACGTAGGCGAGAGGGGGATTATTTCCCAGTAAAAGTAGGCCTTAGACAAGGATGTGTGATGTCACCGTGGTTGTTCAATATATTTATAGATGGAGTTGTAAGAGAAGTAAATGCGAGGGTCTTAGCAAGAGGCGTGACAACTCCCACTTTTGTGGGAATTGTCTCAGTTGTCACAGCACTTCTCCCACAAAAGTGAGAGTTGTCACAGTTGCTCTTTGCTGATGACACTGTGCTATTGGGAGATTCTGAAGAGAAGTTGCAGAGATTGGTGGATGAAT